AGTCGAGCACTCCGATTTCGCTTTAGGTTACATAAAATAATTGGAGTTCCTGTTTCTCGAGGAGGATTTTACTGTAATTTAAATGTAACAGGTTGTAAAGTTACTGTGGCGGCACATGTGAACGTACTTATAAGGATTTTAAAACTATAGGCGTTGTGAGGCGTTGTCGCATATTCTTTGACAGAAAATGAATTTGACTTGTTCAGACGTCAGAATCACAACTTAACTTAAATTAATTATAATATAATAGTAATGAAATAATTTGTACTTTATACTATTCATTTATATTTATTTAGATTGCCTCATTGGGCGATTGGTCGCAAGTGCTACTGCCGGGCAAGGGGTCTCGGGTTCGATTTTCCGGGTTGGGCAAAGTATTACTGGGTGGTAAATCTCAGTAGTAGCACGGAGTCTGGAATTTTGGCCGGTAGGTATGGCAATATGCTCACCCCCTATTACATGGGACTCATAACATAAATAGTGAAAAGTGGGTGTTACATTATATAGTGGCATTAAGTACCGTAATGTGCACCTCTGCCTACCCGTTCGGGGATAAAAAGCGTGATGTTATGTTATATAACACTTTGGGATCGACCCAAAGTATCCAAAGTCTTTAAAATCACGCTTTCGAATAATGGAATATAATTATAATTTTGCTAACAAGCCAGTATAATTATAATTACATATGTGTTATAAAAATAATATATTCAAGAATAAGCCTTGCAGATTTGAGCCACGAGATTCTAATAAGATGACAAACTGTCTCGGCGCAAGAGAAACGTCTCTTGCGCAATGTAATTTTTTGTGACAATTTTAGAGTGGGTGTTTAGGCCTGTTTCGTCACATGACCTTGCTTTCCGTTAATTAGCCACGTCCACGTCGGTGGCTCGGTGATGGATCGGTCACCTGCATTTACAAAGACGTACAATAACTAGATACGACGATTATGCAAACGGCATTGAACGTCGATTGATCGACATTGCCAATTTTGGTGGTCGATTTTTAATTTGAGCACCTGTGATTATATATTTTTTTGTATCAGCAAATATTGGTATTTATACTTATACTTTAGTTTATATAAAGTAAAGTCCTAGCTCGATGATAACTAGTGACGATGAATGACTACCTAGATACCAGGTATATAATACTTAACATTTTATTAAAGCAAAATCATCAACAAATGAAAATAAAATAATGAAGCTAAAATCAAACATAGGAAAGTATTTTATTTACTTGTAGTCATCAGAAGTTTGTCGTTGTCGTCAATTACGGAAGAGATTGTATAGTATGAATCAAACTGATACAATATTCTAGGTATTGCACAAAAAAGGTCGTAACAAAGGTAATTAATTAAACACAGACTAAAGATAAGAACAAAATTAAAATTGATTGTCAGAAATGGTCAACAAACTTAATTTAGTTCAAGTTCACAATTGAAAGTACTTTCAAGTAGTTTATATCTACATGCATTGAGATTACGCCTTTTTGAGAGAATTACAGGTTGATCTGTATCAACCTGTTACTATTAATTGGGGTACCGTACTCAAATGATAAAAACCTAGGCTCTATTAGTAAGACTCCGTTGTCTGTCTCTCACCAGATTGTATCCTATTTATTTATATTTGTTATGTTAACGCAGCTTACATTAATTAAATTAACATACACACAAAGGGAAATTAAAAAGAATAAAACAGTTACAATAGTAGAAGACAAACATAAATGTATCTACATCACAATAAAATAAAACCAAAACAAAACATTTAATTATACACTTTCACATAAACTTATTTACAGACTTTAGGGACCTTCACAAAAACTGAGACAAACATTTTTGATAGTTTTAAGCTCGTCTATAGGTCAAATAGGCGGAATAGGTCACAGTCAGGGTAGGCTACTCATACACCGTGATAGCGAGACAGTTACCAAAAGTTTCACAGATGACGCCTATACAACTGATACTGAAAACTGAACAAAATAAATATTTAATAAGGTAAGTTTCAATTAAACAAACGATATTGTTATGTCGTTTCATATTAATACGTAATAGTGCTGGCCCTTCATGCACGAGTCCAAGTCGGACTTGGCCTTTTTTCAAAGTGACTGTTATAAATGACAGTATGATAAGTCGTTTCCATTTTGTCACAGATCGTTGTTGCTACGTTGCCAATCCAGGTATGCTTTTAAAAATCACGCAATGACCAACAGGTTAATTTCCATGGTCTCTTCTTATCATAATGGTTTTATTTGTCATTGATTTATAATTATTAGGTGATAATTTTATTGTTGATCGATTTTATAAAAGTGTTTTATTATTTGAGGAACTTTTTGCAATACACTCCTCAATTGCGTGGGTAACCAAATCTTAATGGTACCGATTTAAATTACTTTTCAATTCAATTTTGTTATTCCTTCTTCTTTTTCCTTTGTTACCATTGGCCACAAATGTATTGTCAATTCTTATTAAGTCATTATTTTGAATAATCAGGTCATAATAGTAAAAACAACAATAATTAAAGTTGTTGACTTGCTATAGGCCAATAAGAATTCATAAACGTTTTATGACGAAACTATAATACTAAGGTGAAAATTGTCTTGCATTGAGTTAAAGTACATCGACTAGAGCTCCTAGATATTGATAGTGGACATCATAAACACTAGTTTATTATGATATTAAGAATAAAACCAAAGCGGGGCTTGGTCCCTCATTTCTAAGCTGCTTGTCATTTGGTATTTTAGTAGTGAGTGACCCAATGACCGCAGACATACTCTTTATATTACTGATCATTATTTATTATGATTATGAGATGCAAATTGCATCGCAGATACCCTAACACCGGTCGTATTCTCTACACCTCTCCAACAACAGTTTTATGAGTTAACGTTTGCCTGTTAAACATGCAAGTGCCTGAAGGCTTCATATAAATTAAATGTGATTGATCAAAATTTAATAGACAGTACTTAAAGAAAATATGAGGCAGCCAACACATTTCCTAACACGAACAATAATTGCTTTCTCAATTTGCATCAAGTACTAACGAAAATAATTAACAAAAACGGCAACGAAACCAACCGCAAAAGTGGGTAGGTAAAGCTATCGGTAGTTTTTCAATAAGCAATAAATAATGCAACGCAACGGTGGCAGGCGCACGCGCCGCTAACAAGGCGCCCGCGCCGTGCGCCCGCGCCGTGCCATCGTTGTGCAACCTGCCCCACCCTGCGCAGGCGCGCGGACACCATCCGCAACTCATAAGCGAATGGCGAATTGCTAATTGTCTGTTACTAACTGAGCTGTCCAGCTTAAATTTTTGTGAATGGAAAGATCATAATATAATGTTATTCAGTTTTATTTAAAGTCTTATTTCAATAAATTATTTATTCATGTGTTTGTATTTAATTATACATACTATTTTTATGTGGTCTAGGTTAGCTTACAGATTAACATATATTATTTAAATGAATGAACCTGTGTCGAGAAACATATTTACTCGCTAAAGGGGAAGTTAAATGAAATTTAGTTTAAGAATAATTATAATTTAGGTTCTTAATTTATTTTATAAGATTACAATGTGTGTGATGTACTAAGTGATGTACTAAGTATATGAATAAGTTCCATAACTGGTAATAATAGTAGATAAGATTCTACATTCACGCATGATTTCTGTCTAATTCAAATAAAGCTTTCCCTAATTATAGTTTTTTATTAACTAATATTTATTTTTGTGTCTAAAAATAAAGTCTAGAAAATAAAATAAAATCTTGAAAATAAAGTTTTGAATAATTACCATGTTCCGTTGTTCCTTTTCACTTGGACCAGCTCCTTAGTGATACCGTTCTTGTCCGACTCCCGTGCCCACAATATGCTATAGCGTCTACTGCGTCCACTTTCTGTATCTATTAGATCACTACGTCACATACCATATATAAAACTTAGCTAAACTTTTGCTATCAGTAGACTGATTAAAAAAAACTATGGATTAGACTTATGTCCTCCAAACACGAGGTACCTTTCTAATGCTGCTGTATTTCGATATCGACAGACGAAAACAAGATTCCACATATAGATAACGTCTTATTCATTAAGCTGGTAATTATTTTGGTTCAGGTGATTGTAGGCAACGGTCTTTGTTGGAGGTAATGAAGTAATTCGATTGGAATTTTGGCAGCGAACTCCACTTTATCTTCTGTGTAAATATACTGAAGTTATTACATAATAAAAACGTTTATGGACATTAACTGGTACGTGTGTACTTGTACGTGGTGTTTAGTTGTTCTGATTAGATCAATTTTAATAGTTGGCCAACATGGCGGTCTAGATGGTGTTGGGCGGTTTCGTTTGTCGCAAATTAATGGCAATAAAGCATAATCATATCGTAAACGGTGTTCGTGAGGCTGCGCCGGCGCAGCTAGCCTCCGGGCGCCCTTCGATTCCAAGATGGCGCTCGAGTTTAATCGTATTTGCTGCTTTTTGCATAGATTTTTTATGTCTAATAGCTTTTTGTGATCTGTTTTTTGTTTTTGTTGGACCCAGAAGCGTTCATTTTATTGTAATAGGCCGTTTAATTCACTTCTAGAGTTCCTACTTTGTGCATTTTTTTTTCGATTGACCTTCTATTTCGTGGGAGTTTACTCAACCAGGAATTTGTGACGAATTGTGATATTCAGTTCAGAATGACGACTCTTTAGCCTTTGTTTTCAATCGGATCAGTAGGTAATGATATTTTTTTTATTTATGCCGTTTACTTGAACCCAGGTCATAGGTCACAGCATATAGGCACACGATTAGACTTGTAATCCATAGTCACATAGCTGATCATTTACATAAAAACAATTTACTGTTTGTTTGAATAATTTAAACTTGGTACTGATTTTTTTCTTATGGATTTGTCCCATAGGCTGTGTGCTGACAAATTATGTGCATTACGAGGGTATCCCTTTGAGTAAAAGATTTTACCATGCCTTGAAGTTGGTAGTTCATTGTGAATGAAATAAAAATACAGGAATAAAATATTTATTGTTATTTATTCATTTTGACAAGGTATTCGGTGACCTTTGAACGACTAATAGGTATCAAAAGTATAAACAATAAGGTAATAATCTCTATTAATTATACATTCTAGTTATAAGTTAAATAGCATCTCTTATGTGATTCAAACAAGATTTGGTACGAGTACTACGAAAACATTCATACTGTAGGTAACGTTGACTTGGAAGAACAGAGACCAGATTTAAAGGAAAATCGACCATAAAAACCTTTGACAGTTTTCACTATAACATTCAGAAAATGAGAATAACAATAAAGTTGAAATTATGTTAACATTGAATCCTGAGTAACATTAATTGGTGGCAATAATCAAAAAGAGATCTTATTGTCATGTGATATAAAATTGAGATTCAACCTTAAAGCTTTTTATGATCGAGTTTTTCTTTGTCCTGTATGATTAAAACAATGCTTCGCGAAACATTTTAATACAAAAAATACAATTTCTTAAAAAAGTCGTCAACATTTGGGTGTTTGAGTTGTTTTGCTTTGTATTTTCTATCATAGGAAATCAGGTTTATTTATGGTATTGGAAATGACATAATGGAACATAATAAAGTGACATGCATTGACTCATTATCACAGAGTTACATAATTCCGTAAATTTTTTACAACATAGAATCTTTAAACTACATTTTCGTGCATCATTTTCGTGTATATTTTAATGCATGACATTATGTTTAATATTTGAACTGAGCTGTAGTGGTTGGAAATGGGTTTGGTCCTGGGTTAAAGGGACATAGTATCTATGTATGTCTATATGTAAATAATATTATCAAGTCTACACTCGCAACAATCATAGAGATCTATCTATACTTACAGGAACGTTTAGATTAGTTCTTTGAGAGATTCATTTAACTGATACAAATATTTTCTCATTTATTGCTGTCCAGTAATAAATTAAATCACAGATTTGTAATTACATTAATTTAGTCATAATTTTGGAATACGTACAATGTTTAACACAATTCTGGAGTAATCTCTAATAAATGTATAATTTCTAATAAAAAAATCTCAATAAAATTGATAATAAAAATATCTAATTTGCGTAATATTTTGAAACTTAACAATTAAGGCAGGTTTACCACACGGGATTGCAACCCGTGGCGGGCGCCCAAAACGACAATAATTTACGCAACATTCAGTATACATTATACATATATATACAATTTCCAAAGTAAGATAATTTTTTAAAACAACTTTTCTAACATTTCGTAAAAAATATTTAATAATATCTTCAATAAGCAACAAGTTATATTTTTATTGGTAACCGGCGTTTCCTCTCAGACTAATAATACTAATTATTTTACATCGAATAAAGCGAAATTTACAAAAAAATAGTACAAAGAAACTACTTACATCCGTACAGTACATCGATATAGCGTAATCTATTATAGCGAACACTCTCTGAACACTTAACATTAATTTTCTATTTATGTCTTTACGACGAGGAATACATACACACTACATATTTCGTATAACTATCGGTAGAGAAAATTCGGTACGCAACCTAGCTACATACACTACAATAGCTTAATATTTACATTAAGTACACGAGATTCAATATCACTTTATTTATAATACATATCCTAATAGCCGACTTGGTGGCAAGTACATTTACTTTCACTCGTTTGCGCCAATTCAATGTGCTAACGCGGTAACAATAATGGGTATTTACAGAACTGAAGATGCGTGGTCATTACGATTGCATTGTTTCCTTAGCTATACAATTACTTGAGGCTTGACGTTCTGAAACATTTTCAATGTTTGCCTTGCATTTTCATATTGTCATTGCTCATTAAACAGATTTGTAACTAAAGTTGGCGCTTATTCATTAGCTATTTGATCAAAAAATTCACACTCAATATAGTTTATTAGAATACACAAGAGTCATTTGGATGCATCGACCAGATATTGTAACTGTGAAAGTGGTCAGCTCGTGTCACTATCAGGTGTGGTCGGCGGGGCTCGCGGTGGCGGCGGCGCGTCTTCCCGGCGCCACGCGGCCCATGAACGATCTGATCTCCTCGAAGTACGTCTCATCCGGAGACCGCCGGCGACTGTCATCCCCGTTCTCCGCTTCGTGTTTCTTGAGATGCCTATCGAGATTCGTTTGTTGACCGAAACAACGGTCACAGTGACGACACCGGAACGGTCTCTCTTTGTTATGAATATTCCTCACATGTCGCTGCAAATTCGATGATATCGAAAATGAGCGTTCGCAATATTTACAGCGGTAAGGTTGCTCTCCCGTGTGCGTTCTTAAATGTCGAGTTAGATTAGCGCTGCGAGGAAATGCTTTCCCACAGTAGGAGCACGTATATCTGTCTCTTGCTCTAGGAGCCCCAGGATTTTGAGGCACTGGTGGAGCTCGAGGAGCTCCAGGCGCTAGTAGCGTAGCGGCTGCTGCAGGTAGGAAGGGATAGCGGCCAAATGAAGCCGGTAGAGCTAGCGGTAGTCGTCGACAGAATTGTAGTAGCGCTGGGTGCGCAGGATGAGCTGGGTGCGTAGGGTGAGTGGGGTGTGGCGGCGGCGAGGGTGTAATCAGGTTGCAGTTCTCGTCTTCGAGACGAGGTGGGCGTTTGTGCGTGACGCGCAGGTCGAGGGGCTCGTCGGCGCGGGGGCTGCTCAGTGGGCTGGGGTGGCGGTCGAGCGGGGATGCCGGTGGGGACGCGAGGCGGCGCGGCGCCGCGTGCTTTTCGCGCATGGCGGCCGCCGCGCACGCGCTCATCGGGCTCGTGCGCCACCGACCTGGAACAATGAAACGAAAAACATGTTAGCCTTCACTCATATGACTTTATGATCTCTTATTTGTAATAGAGGTATTAAATCGAATGTATTGATAGCCGTATGTACGCTAGAACTAATCACAATAATGATAGACCTGTCCCGGATCTGCCTCAGCGCCACAATAACGTCATAGTTAGGCAATCTGAACACAACAACTGATCACATTTTATTGATCAACTTTGCCCCTATCAGCAATATCCTCCGAGCACCGGTATGCTAAAACTTGTATAAATATTGCGAAATGACGCGCTGCGGTGCGGCGGGGGTGGCCGGCTGATCGATGTCGGCTCCTACGCTCGCCTTCGACTCACGCCCACTTACTTGCGACATCGGTAACTAGAGCACTTGCTACCGAAACCACCAAGTTTTTTGTTAATTATTAATACGCCTTTATAAAGCCAATATATTGCGTTCGAACCAGTTGCTTATGGAAGAGTTGCGACTGCGATCGACTGGCTAGAATCAGAATTGACATCCACGTAACAAGCTGGTCCACATGTTCAAGAAGTCTTGGGCATGCGCAAGTATTTAAGCGATGAGTGAAATACTTTATGCTTGTTACCGAACCTTGCCCCAGATGTGTCTGTCTAGTTTTTGCCCAATCTTGTGTATTCTCAACAATGGCTCTCACTTCGTGTAAAAGTGAAATCGAAGGCACGAAATGACATGAAAGATACGAGTAAACGTTATTAAAGTGCTTTCCTTTCGCTATTTCATGCTTCTGCCCACGTAGTGTTATAACAGATAGTGTTATAACAAAAATATTATCCGCCGATAATCGTGCAATAATAAATTGGACAACTTCATTGAAGATAGATCGGCGCGCGGCGGCGGGCGTGCGATCACCCACGTACGTCACGCGCATTGTTGGCGTGCGCCGGCGTCGATATATTTACATGTTAAACTACATTATGTTGTCATTACTCGGTACCGTGATCTATAATCGTTTTTGTCTCAATGCCGCGTGGTTTTCGGTACTCTTTGTTTTATAAGGCGATGTGCGCTGTAGCCGAACTCCGCAACCGGTCAACTTCGTTCACAAGTAGACCGCAATGACACTGATAGAGTGGTCCGATAGAGGCACGGCTATCTGGCTAACTCGCAGCTTACTATTATAGATCGTGCTGCCCGAAACAATGTTAACTTATCTATGTAAAGACAGAGTACTGTAATGGGTACATTCCTTTGCTATAGGGTTAAGCTAATGCAATTTTATCGTGCCATTAACATAAAAAGTAAAAGCAAAGCATCCTAATAGTGCTGCTACAAATTTGTTCGCTCACGCCTATACCCGACACGGGCTAATTTGCGCCAAAAGGAGCCGACATAAATCCTTTGAACAAGGGTCGGGCATAGACGTCAGGGAGGCCATATATGGCGCGGTCGTGAGCCCTCGGTTCCATACTTATGATTTGTGGCGCAGGCGCAGACGTGCCCCTTTTATGCAAGGATTAGGAGAATAATTATGTTATGCAGACAATCAATATTAAACGATGGGCGAGAGCTGCGGATGTGGAACCATTTGCGTTGAAAGAGAAAGGCAATTAACTGAGGTCAGTATCTATAGTTAAAGATTTTTGTATGGTTAGAAGTGTTAGGAGCTTTTTCCATACGTTACAGAGTGAGTTATGAAAGCTTCTTTTGGTGTTCTAAGAGACATGACATTACATCCTGTTTCAGTTAGATAACACGTGTAGTGGTTATCAGATTTAAAATAATAAAAATGTAAGCAAGACGCAGGAAACATGAGAGCTTTTCCTGAAAGCTGTGTTCGGAAGCCGTAACTCGTGTTGTTGATGTTAGTGGTCCGGCTAAGCACAGTTGCACGTTTCGTAAGTAGCGTTTATAGCAGTTTAGCGCGCGCATCTCCGCTCAGTCACGACCCACTAATTACTGGTAATTAACGATGTTCGGGCGCGGCGTGACGCGCGCGCCGGTGGGCGGGGCCAGCGTCGTTATGTATGTTAATGTAAATAGCGTGGCCAATGAGAAACATCATGCCGCGCCGACGCTGTGATATATTAGCATTTGAATCGCTTATTCGTTCCGTCGACTCGTGCGCACACCGACTGACCACTTTTGTGACTTTGTGTTATTCCATGCGTTTCGTAGTTCGTCCCACCTCGTTTCTTATGCAAAACAATAATAAATTACCGCGATTCGTTTTACTGTGCTCTGTGTATTTGGAATTCCGAACGTCGACGATAAACTATAGTAGCGATAAATTGCTTTATACAGTCCATGTAATGTAGGTATCATGTTAGAGGCGAGGTGTGAATGGGAATGAGATGTTGACTTTGTGTTTGTATTTAGAATTTGGTTTGAATTCCATTTTGAATCGAAATTATAAAATAACTTTACCGAACTCTGTGTTTGTACCGACCTAATGAAATACTGAATAATTCGCAATTTAATCTGACTTATTAGCTTAACATATTAATGTTAATATTTTATCGATAAATTATTATAATTTATTGCACATAATGAGGCGTGATACGAGACACGCAGTTCGATCAATCATGGCGATTAATTTAGTATGTATGTATATACAAAGTAAGTATGTAGTTGGTACAATAGTGTTTACTCAGTGAGCAGCCAATGGTAGTAGTCTCGCATGGCCGCCTGTCCGTAACACACGATGCTGCGCTCATTCGTGACGCCTCGTTAACTTTACCTACAACTTGTAGGTACAATAAGAACATAACATTGACGTATTCTAAAGCACACTTTATTTATGTAACCACTTGACAGGTATGATATGACTAGCTTATCTATATTAACATTCAGTTTTACTTTTGCACGCTTCACTGAAGCACTAGCGAATTAGAATATATCTGATGAAAGTTTTTAGCACATAATATCCTTTCATTTTCGATTAAATTTGACGCGTCAACCGACACCAACAAATACCTTTATTTCAAAACAGTAATTCAAAGAATGTTTCAAGAGAATATTGTCGAAAAAAGCGTGAGTCGTTCAACAATAGGTCTAGAACGGAGATTGCTCCATCGCCATTGCTACCGCGTATCGATAGAATGATTAATAAAAAAGTTGACGGCTTCCATAGGTCGCAACACTGCGTAGTCACGAAGCCGGTCCTTCGCAATGTTGCGATGAAATAAGTAATAAATCGCTGACTATCGTCTTGCAAAAAAGAGGGAAAAATATTCGTGTGACTGCAATAGATGAAGTAAGCAATTTGTTAATAAATATTAGTAAACCTGCACGTGTATGTCTCGCTGCACAAACATGAGCATAAAGTCAAGATTTTTTAGTTCAACTTGAGCTGCGAGCTAGCTAAATAAAGATAAGGACTTGTTCATTACTGATACTGTAGATAAAAATATTGTTAATGGGTGCATTGGCAACATATTTACTAAAATTAGTAGTGGAAATCACATAAGTCATGTAGTCAATGGTCGACATTCCGTATGATATTCTCATACGATCGCGGTCGCAGCAGATTCACACGCACCGCCCGCTTTTTTAGACGGCATCGTATCGACAACCACGATCTTTGATTTATTTCACATCACTATTTTAGGAAACGCGTCGCGCCAGTCGCCTTATGGCGAGATATGAAATTGCTCTGCGATGTATGTACTTAGAATCAGTAGTAAACGCCCGCTGCTCAGATGGATCGATTATGTCCGCGAACGTATCATGTCGCGTATTATGCGGTTGATCGTTGCAAAACCCAAGCTGCAGCACTAAATCCTCCTGTTAAACGCACATTACTTACACTATATTAGGTCATGCAATTTAAAGCTTCTTCATTGAATATTATCTTTTAGATGACAACTAGTTTGTTGCCTGTGCGAATTTATTTAGCATTAATGTCTCTTAACTAGACGCGGTCTTCGATATGCCATTTGTTAAGATCGTGATGGAACGCAGTCGTAAATATTGGTGTCTTTCTTTAGCATATTCAATGATAGCTGTAGTTTATTGACAAAGGCCATAACTTGACCTGTGCGTGACATGATAATGTGTTCGTGGGCACACAGACGCAAGCTTCATGTAACATTGTATCGCATTGTTGTAATCGCGAGCCAATAAACTGCGCAAATGGACTCGCAATTCCAAAATTAAGTATTCAATACAGCCACCGATGTTCGAGTTGCCACGCGAAATAATTATCTAATCTATTATCGAATTGCATTTATGGACCAATCACAGCGGAATGTAACGTATTTTAGAGTGGGCATTTAATACACCTAGCGGGCCGATTCTGGCCAATGGCGGATTGATTTACCACGCATGCGCACTTATGACGATAATGTTGTTTATAAAAGTTGCGATTGCATGTGGGAACCGGGGCGGCAGTGCGACGCGCGTCGTGGGAACTGCCGGAAATCGGGACTTTTTTATGTCAACCTGCGCGTTGCCTACATACAACTTATTTAGTGGCGATTAGTTATGTGAGCGGCGTCCGCAATTAAATATATTGACGCCGTTTCTGCGAAGTATCAGTAGATAACGATGACGGTCCTTTTTCGTGGCATCCTGACGACTGCACCATTAAGGTGCGCTCCAAATTTCAATATCATTTTTAGTTAATTTAATGAGAATTTTATCAGAGTAATTATTGGGGAATTGAGTCATATATTTCGTGTCGACATGAGATCCACGGTGTCCATTTTTTGCTGGTTAATTACTGGAATTATTTAACATAATGTCAGTCTTACAAGTTGTATAAAGTGTCTCAAGTTGTCGCAAACTTGTATATTTGCATGCGTCACTCAAATACCGTTTGGGTCAACTAATAACTGAGTGTTGCGAAATATTTTGGTCTGAAACTATTTTAGACATATCCGCAGTGTAATAAAAAGATTAACATCTACGAAATTAAATTCGGTGAATCATTCTCGTTCGTAATACCAACGTGATAATTATTTGTAAATGTAAAAGGAGAGGTTGTTTAGATATTTGCTTCAGTTTTATTTGATATAGATTTTATT